GCTTTGTGGTCTTGGTTTAATCGTGGTAAGCTCCTTTGCAGAAGTTGTAAGGATTAATGTAAAGGATAAAGTGTACATAGAAAAACCACCTAGAAGCAACATGTGATTAACAATAGTCCCTTCTTCCCCTTAGATCAACAGTTGGTTAAAGAAAGCGGTAGCATCAGGATTTCTACATAAAGAAGGGGTTTCCATTTGTCGTGTTCAAGGTCTCATATCTGAGATTATCATGCAGCAGATGAAGCAGAAACAACAATGCCAGAATTACAACTTTCAAATTCTGCCTTTCCAGAGAGACAGCTTCCTCTCTCCTGCCTCCTGAAAACACACACCTTGCATTTTGATTTGGAAACTTGATTACTTTCTTTTGCCAGATTGTCCTTGTAGTTTGCATAGATAAAACTTCATTGCTGGTAATCAAATTAATTGCCTTTTAAAATAATTATGTCCTGTGGCAATCAATCCCACAAGTCTACAGATGGCATATAAAGTGTGTGCTAAATGGAAGGGTAATGAAACTAGGTTCAACTTTAGCCTCTTTTATGTTTATTTGGGAGACAAGACAGCTCTAAAGTTTGGTCTATAGGTGTCTTAGTTAGGGTTTTTATTGCTGTGAAGAGACACCACGCCCCACAGCAATAAATAAATAACATAAATAAATAACTCATACATAAAAACATTTAATTGGGGGAGTCTCACTTACAATTTCAGAGGTTTAATCCATCATCATCAAGGCAAGGAGCATGGTGGCATGCAGGCAGAGGTGGTGCTGGAGTTGAGGGTTCCATATCTTGACCCAGAGACAACAGGAAGTTAATTGACGGCCACACTGAATGAAGCTTGAAAAAAGAGACCTCAAAGCCGCCCCCCACAGTGACACACTTCCTCCAACAAGACCACACCTACTCCAACAAGGCCACAGCTCCTAATAGTGCCACTCCCTTTGGGGCCTATTTTCTTTCAAACCACCACAATAGGTTTCATCTTTATCTTTTAAAAAACAGTCAACACTAATTTAGAGAAGACATATGGGGTAAAGCTCATAACTCATTGCTAACTGATAAAACTAACTAACCAACCACTAGACGGTAACAACTGACTGACATCTCACTGAAAATCTCTCATAGAGACTCCATAAGCTGAAGCCTGGCTGTCCCAGAGATCAACACGGCCTTAAAAGTTAATTTGTGTGGCCGGGTGGTGGTACACGCCACAGAGAAACCCTGTCTCAAGACACCCCCCTTCCCCCCCCATCCCCCAAAAATGTTAAATTGTGCAGCATAGGCTTTTCAATTTAATTTTTATGCTTCCAGATACACAAATGCCAGTTTCCCCAGGGATAACACCTGAAAGACCCCAATAGGGATACTTTCACGGAAAGGAGACCCGAACCCAAGGAACAACGAGACCACGAGCTTGGATGCAACAGCAAGAGGCTTTATTGATAATACACGGGTACCCGCGGCGTCTCAGTCTCGGGAACTGAGAGCCCCGAGCTGGGGACTCAGGGGTTCTTTTATAGCAAAAAGCGCAGTACAGAAGCGAGAAGCCTAGTAACAGGACCCTGATTGGGCAATTTAAATGAGGCTAGGGCTCAGAGCGCGGGCAAATAGAGGTTTTGCTTGGAACTCAAGTCTCGGCCTTGGCCCTATCTGAGGAACAATTGGTCTCTGTGCTTGCCCAATCTTGCTGAGCTGGCCATCTGGTCAGAGCTCCCTTCTGATAGCAATGACTATTCAGCTGTGGGGAAACGGAATTTTCCATAAGCCTCAGCTGCCTGTTTAGACTGGGCCAGGGTCTTTCACACCCACTACTTTATTGGCTACTGTATGGTTGGACATGAGGCATGTAAGTCAAATGCCAGCTCTTACAGAGATTTTCTTTAAGGTATAATCTGACATTTTTGACAAACAGTGAACAAAGAAAGATTTGTGAATTGAATCCATTGATATTAAGGGATAACAATGATCAGTGATTGTTAATTCTTGTTATTCTTTGTTGGTGTTGATGGTGTGTGTTTGCCTTCTTTGGGATTTGCTGGTGTGAGATTACCTATTGTCTGTGTTTTTATGGGTGTAGCTAATTTCCTTGGGTTGGAGTTTTCCTTCTAGTACTTTCCGTAGGGCTGGATTTATGAATAGGTATTGTTTAAATCTGTTTTTTTTTTTCATGGAATATCTTGGTTTTTTTTTGTCTATGATAGATAAAAGTTTTGCTGGGTATAGTAGTATGGGCTGGCATCTGTAGCCTCTTAGTGTCTACATAATGTTTGTCTAGGATTTTCTGGCTTTCAGAGTCTCCATTGAGAAGTCAGATGCTATTCTGATGGGTATGCCTTTATATACTACTTGGCCTTTTATTTTATTATTCTTTATGTTTAGTGTTTTGATTATTATGTCGTGAGGGGGACTTTTTTTGGGTTGAGTCTATTTGGTGTTCTGTAAGCTTCTTGTATTTTCATATGCATGTCCTTTAGGCTGGGAACATTTTCTTTTATAATTTTGTTGAATATTATTTTCTGTGCCTTTGGGTTGGATTTCCCCTTCTTCTATCCCTATTATTCTTAGGTTTGGTCTTTCCATTGTGTCCCTGATTTCTTTGATGTTTTGTGTTAAGAATTTGTTGGATTTAACATTTTCTCTGACCAATGAATCTGTTTTCTCTATCGGATCTTCAGTTCCTGAGATTCTCTCTTCCATCTCTTGCATTCTGTTGGTCATGCTTGCATCTGTAGTTGCTGCTCATTTACCCAGTTTTTCCATTCAGAATTCCCTTGGTTTGGGTGTTCTTTATTGCCTCTATTTCCGCTTTCAAGTCTTGAGCTGTTTCCTTCACGTGTTCACTTGTTTTTTCCCCCTTGGCTTTCTTAAATGGACTTATTGATTTCTTAATTTTTTTTGACTTTTCCTCATTTTCTTTAGTGGAAATTTTCATTTCCTTTTTAAGGGCCTCTATCATATTCATAAAGTTTTTTTAGGTAGTTTTCTTCTGCTTCATTTGTGTTGGGATGTTCAGGTCTCAGAGTTGTAGAACCACTAGGTTCTAGTGGTCCCATATTGCTTCTTGCGTTGTTGAATGTATTCTTACGCTACCATCTAACTGTCTCTTTCTCCAATCAGTGCAGGTAGTACCTGTGCCTCCAGGGGCCTCTGCTCACAGGTTACTCGGGGCTTTTCCTCCAATTGGTGTAGGTGTGTCTCTGGGCCAATGATGCCGTGGGGGATGGCTGGATGTGTGTGTGTGATGGGTTCCGTGGGTTTGTAAAGGTGGAGTGGGACTTGTAGGTTTCAGAGTCCAATGTGTGGTGTGGCGGGGGAGGCGGAGTGGCCTGCCTGCAGGAGTCTTACCTGCTGACTGGGAGCTTCCCTTCTTCAGATGCACATTCTCGTCAGACTCACTCGCCGGCTCTGTGACTGACGGATTTCGTGAAACTATTAAATATACTTGGGTCTGGTAAAACAAGAGACGTGGAATTGGTAGACCTAAGTTCTTTTTCTGAAATTTGTGCAACTCTTTGTTTTAATAATGTGGCTGTTGGTAAAGGTAACTCCGTCAATACGGAACAAAAGCTGTAATAAATATGGGGGTGGGGAGGGTGGATAAGCAAACGTACTGACCTTGAGTGAAGTAACATTGAGACAGCTACTGTTCTCAGCGGTAGGGAGTCCGCACTGGGAGAGTGTGGTTCGGAAATGATTCCTCAGCATGGGCTACCGCCTTCTCTTGACACTACATTGTTGTTGTCTTTGTCAGACAGACAGGGAGATTTTCTCGGCTCAAGAATTCTTGGATTCTTCATTGCCACATCACTGTTTGACCTCTGTGTAGGTTAGATTCTGGAGACAACACAGAGTCACATTCGTACACAGTAACGTTGAGCTCTTGCAACATTAATCATTTCTTTGCATTTATCATTTGTTTATGACTTATTTATTTAGTTACTTATCTGTTGCAGTTCATCTTCTTGGTAAGATAAAAAAAATACTCTAAAGGTAGAATTTTAACTGGTAAATACCATAAATTTAAAGGCAGCAAATGAACTTGCTCAGATGTGCAATTATGTCCTGGGAAGAATGAATCATCAAAGGTATTGATCTTCCACAGCTGCGTGGATACCCCAACACGTGACAGACAGGAGTGCTTTATAGTCACAAAAGCCAAAATAGACTAGGGAAACAGCCTGCTCTAGTTACTCGGTACAGGGAAGGTAGGGTTGCAGTTAACACTCTGTCCACTAGATGGTAGTAGAGGAGCACAGACTAAAATGATGTCGCGGTGTTAATTATGTTGACTGCATAGCAGCTAAGCCCATCTGTCCTTAGGTAAGAGCTGAAGTTAGAATTTATAGATTTCATACCTTCAAACACTCATGGAAAACATTGGTTGGGGGGGCAGAAGTCTATTCTAAGGCCCTCTGAATTTTTGCACAATTTCCATTCCCTCACCCACTACCCAACAGCCTTTCTTGCCTTCGTTTGATTGAGTTACGTCCAGCATTTTCCATCTAAATCTGCTGACGGGCCCCACTTTCAGCCCATGTCAGTCCCAAATGTTCAACCAGTCCCGACAGGAGCAGGAGACAGCTTTGCCCCTGCGTAGCTGCGTGTGAGCAGTAGTACTGGGATCATATGATCGAGGGCCTGGCATTTCCAGATTCCTACTTGGGATCTGTTTCTGCATCTTACCAACATTCTTCCATTGAATGGATTACATGCTGGATCGGACAGCTTAACAATGATGCTGGGATACTGACCCAAGCTAAACTCAGGGGATCATCTATAAAGAGTAAGACACTTCAGTACTAACTAGCAACTCAAATTCCTTCTTCATCTCTCTTATGCCCCTCCCTTATCCCCCACCCCTAAAGATAAGAAATCTGGCTTGTCTTCCCTTATATCACTCCGGTATAATTCTGAATCTGAAACCTGAAGGATGAGTCTTTGGTACCCTTCCGGGTTTACACTCTTTAACTGTTTTCTCTCTTGTTTTCCATTGCCCAGGACTATTCTTCTCTACTGCTTATATGGAACTTCACCTGCCGATGGAAGCCAGGCTACCTAATCCCCAATCATCCCTTATGAACACGGACAGCTCATCTAACAGCACTGGCAAATGATGTCTTCCTCATAGGCCTACATTCTGGTGTGTATATTATCTGGATCCCATCTAAGCCTTTTAATTAAGTATGTGACCAAGTGAATTTCCTTGGGGGTGGGAGGAGAGGAAAGAAGGAGGGTGCAATTCGTCCCACCTAAAAAGGATATATATATATCTTCTATTTTATTTGAAAAATCTGTTTTTCTCACTCTTTTCTCACTTTAATGTGTTACAATGTATTTACTAATTTGGTCTTTGAGTCAAATCACCCCGGGAAGATGTCGATTGTTTATCATGTATCATTGAGTCTTCCTGGCCACATTAATTGCATCTCACACCTGAGCTTGGCAGGAGGAGCTAGCAGCAATGGTAGGTTCTGGTATCAGGACAGGACTCAGCTCCGCTCCACAAGGTAACTGGCTGTGAAAACTTGGCATGAAATCGACCCTCGCTCACTCTCGTCTTTCCTCATTCATAGACAGAGAAAACTTGTGGCCACATAGGGTTGTGGTGAGATTTAAATGATAAGACTACACAGCTGTGATAGAAAGTAGACACCGAGCTCAGGCAAGTAACCCGGATGGTGTGAACTGGCCGTTTGGACACACCACACCTTACACACGCTCTGATTGCTGCATGTGAACTCAGTGTTGTATTTCCAATGCTCCAAGTTAAACTATGGCTCCTCACAATGCAAAGGCAACCTGTGAAGTACTACAGTTCCTTTAATATTGTTCCCTGTGGTTTGTGCCCCCTTCAGCTCCATGACTACAGAAATAAAACATTTCCAGTGCAGAGAAAAAGCCTAGGATTGGGACGAGGACGGGGCTTATATTTTACTTCCATAGATGAACTATTTGGCTGTGGAATGACTGGGTGACTTGGCAGTGGGCAGTTAGCTGATGACATAGCTTTTTAGAGGCCTGGGCAAGACAGCATTTCAAAGAAGATGGGAGAGCAATAAATACTTGGCTTGGCTGCAAAACAGTTTTAAAGTTTGGTTTCTGTTCCAGTAATGACTATATTCCTCTTCTTACTTTTTGCTCCCAAACTAAATAGGAGTGGAAGTTTTATATGGCTCAGGGTCTAGTTAACCCTTCATGTTAGTTGAAAGATTTTGGAACAGAATCAGAGAAATGATCACCTGAAGTAGTCTCTTGGATGGGAGTTCTTAAGATAGAGAAGTAAGGAAATGTGTTTGTGTTTTGATTTGGTTCCAGTTCATTCACCCATCAGTAGATGTTGTTAATACCTAACACAGGTATCGCCCAAGTGTTTGCCAGGTTTCCCACAGTAAGTTCTTGAAGACATGAGGACATTTATTACCCTAGCCTGGCTCTCAAGTGATGTGGGAGGTCTTCTGTATGCTGCAAATGTGTGTTGCTTTCATCGGTTGATGAATAAAGCTGTCTTAGCTAATGGGTAGGTAGGATGTAGCTAGGCAGGACTTCCCAACAAAAAGGCAGGGAAAAGAAAGACAAAGGACAGATGCCATGTAGCTACTAGGAATATAGGATGCTCTGGCTTTCTCCAGTAAGCTAAGACCACATGGAGATACACAAATTAATAGAAGTGGGTTAAAAATTAAGAGAGAGATAGCCAATAAGAAGCCTGAGCAATAAGTCAAACAGTTTATACTTACTATAAGCCTCTGTGTGTTTATTTGGGACTAAATGGCTGCAGGACTTTGTGGGACAGAAACTTCAAGTCTACATTCAAGTTTGTTAGACACGAGTAAAGAAACAGTTCATCTGTGTGTACTTCTACACTTAATAGATAGTTGACATCACTTCCCTCAGTACAGAGGCTTTCTTAATCAATATATTAATTTTTCAAATATAGAATAATTAACAGGTTATAAAGCAGTGTGGCGGGGTTGGCTGTGACTAAGTACAATGGCTCTGTGCTAATCAGTTTCTGTCAACTGGACATAAAGGAGAGGCGCCTATGAAGAGAGAACCTCAACTGAGGAGTTGCCTCCATCACGGTGGTATGTGGGCATGTCTGTGGGCATTTTCTTGATTAATGACTGAAGTGTAGGTCTCAGCTTACTGGGGCTCTGGGTTATACAAGATTGTAAGCTGAGTAAGCCATGTGTCCTAGGTAGTTTTATGTCAGCTCACACAAGCCAGAGTCAGTTTGGGAACTTTAGCTGTGAAAATACTCTCACTAGATAGGCCTGTGGACAAGCTTGTGTCGCATTTCCTTGATTGGTGGTTAGTGTGGGAGGACCCAGCTCCCTGTGGGCAGTGCCACTCCTGACCTGGTGGTCCTGGGTGTTATAAGAAGAGCAACTTATGATGAGAAAGGCAGTAAGTCTCACTCCTCTGTGGCCTCTACTTCATTTCTTTCACACAAAAAAAAAACAAACCCTTATAGCATTGAAGGAAACTCAGGCAAGAGCCTAGATATAGGCTTCAGTAAGCAGAGACCATGGAGAAATGCTGCCTAGTAGCCTGCTTCTGTGGTGTCTTAGGGCCCTATGACAAGACACCATGACCAAGGTTCTATCTCAGCTTGCAACTCTGGGGTCACACACCGTTACTGAGAGAAGTCAGGGCAAGAACTCAAGCAGGGTAGGGATCTAGGCTTTTGCCTTAGCTTCCTTCAATGCTATAAGTTTTTTTTTGGTTTTATGAGACAGGGTTTCTCTGTATTGTTTTGGAGGCTGTCGGTCCAGCCCGGCCTCGAACTCACAGAGATCCGCCTGCCTCTGCCTCCCGAGTGCTGGGATTAAAGGCGTGCACCACCACCACCCGGCTCAATGCTATAATTTTTAAAACAAAATAAACACTTCTCCTCAACTTGCTTTTGATCACGGGATAGCATCTAAAAGCTTTCTCACTGCTCATGAAGGAGCTAGAAGAGACATTTCCAGGGAGGGTCTTGAAGACTCTTGCTTTAACAAGGCTTATCTAGATTGGAAGCAGATTGGATTAGAAAAATTCTTGTGGGATGGAAGACTAGGTATGGGAACAAAAGGATGGTTGCTGTACACATTTTATTTACCTATAATTTATTAATTTGTTACTATGCTGGAGACTGAACACTATAGACACTTTAATCTTCAAAATCTAAAGGAAATCTTTCATGTCTCTGTGATATACAGTGTAAGGCGTTAGAGGTGAAGGAGAATTCCAGAGTGAATCTGGTTAGCCTCAGTGTGCAGTGGAACGATGCTCATAGACAGGAAGGGAGGAACAAATGATGCCCTGCCAATTTTAGCTTTGAGAGTAAGACGGAGGGTGAGAGGGAGATCAATGTTGCATTAGCAGGTCAAATTTCAGATATTATTTCTATTAATATATTAAGGGATATATTAGTAGCTAAGGCTTTTGGGACTTATGAATGAATAGGTTCGTATTGTTGGTCTCAACTTAAAATATGTTACACATCCAAAGTTGTAAAATTAGAGCATATTGCATATGAAGTTGGGAAATGTCTGAATACATTAGAAGGCAATTTGAAGACATTTTAATACTCCTATTAATAGAGATATAATTAGGGAAGTGTGGAAGTAATAACTGAATGAGTGAAGTGAGAAACATTTAAGAAAAAAATCCTTGGTGACAAATAACGAATTTCCTTAAATTCTTTTGCTCTTATTTCTAGAATGTTCCTCAAATCAGATTCCTTGTTGTCAACCACATTTCCATGGTTTAGAAGAAACTTTCATCCTCCACCCTTTGCGTCTTTTGGGCTAAAGAGAGGTCACTGATTTTTTTTTTACTTTGCTTCTATTCTTGTAATTCCAGTCCAGCATTTGCAACATCATGATTATTCTAAAGGCCATTATCATGTTATACCATCTACTTGAACTAACCTACTGACTTTCTTTGATGTCTTTTTTTTCTTACATTCTACTATTCACATTTCCGCAGCTGATTTGAACCATAGATATTCATACATATATGAGTCTCCCTCTGTTAAGAGATGCACTTTTTGAGGTCAGGAACAATGCCTTACTTATTTCTGTATTTCCCAGCTCTTGTACCATATCATTTTTAATTCAGTTTTTAATAGATATTTGTTTGTTATGGTCTGGATTGGGTATTCCTTCTGCAACCCCCAAGTGCATTCACGTGTTGAAGTCCTAAACCTAAGTGTATTTAGACACAGGTCCTTTATGGAGATAACTAAAGCTAATTGCAGCCAAAGGGTAAGGCCCTCATCCAACAGGGACAAGAAAAACCACCAAGAGTGTGCAAAGGGGAAAGCTATATGAAAACACTGAGAGTGTCCTACACCATGTACCAGCTGAGGAGAGAGACAGCTCTGTAGACAGTTGATAGCTTGACCTTGACTTTTCTGACTGCAAAACAGAGAGTTTCTGTTCTTCATATCACTTAGTCTGTCAGTTCTGTTGTGCGAGGCTGAGCAGACTGACACAGGGTTAAATTAAGTAGACATGATAGTTGACTGTATTAGCCATTTGTCATGGAAAGGCATTATCAGTCCCTCTAGGTTGTTTGTTGTTCCAGGACGTCTCAAAGTTTGTATCAGAAATACAGAGAAGCAAGATAATGTGTCTCTGACTGAAGGCTGAAGGGTAATACTAGGAGGTCCATTGCAGTAAACATTCCACCAGCATTCAGCTGCTTTGAAGAAAAGTGCTCTATCAGGGCCTTCTTATTTTTCCTTTCATCCTGCATTTTCTATGTGAACTGCTGAGATATGAAGATGACTCAAGGGAAGCTTCTGTGTTAAAGAAAACAGCAAAATGATTATTGGGAATCTAAGAATGTGTTTATCTATGGCAGGACTTATACAGCTCTCTAGGTCTACTAATCAAGCCTGGGGCATCATGGTTTTGATTTACAATTCCTGGGGAGGGAATTTGGTTTGGACTTGGCTTATACATTCCCAAGCCCAAAGGTTCCTCAGATATGCTCTGTGCCTTCCTCTGTCTAATAACATGGAGCACTTGAGGGTGGATGTTTCACATAATTTACTGCCGAATCTGCCGGATTGGCATCCTGCTCACTGCATACCAGACCTGTCTTTAGAGGGGGCACTGCTGGCAATCTGGGCTTCAGTTGTAAACA